ACAGTCAATGCTGCGTATGATTTTTTTTATGCTTCCTTAAGAGATTTACTAGCTAGTCAACAGCCATTGGTTGATTTTTTGCAATTCGTGTTAGAATGGGTTTGGTGAGCTGGTATTCTAATTTAAAGGGTTTCATAACTTGAGAAGTTTATCTTAAAAAAATGAAAGCATCGAAACGCAGAGTTTTTCGTTAAAAATGAGCGGTGACGTAAGATATGGAGACATAAAAGCGTAATGGAGTGAAAAATATAAGAAAGACAAAGAAAAACATAGCAAACCTTCCATTTTTTATCTTCGTCATGATGGAAGTGTGAAGAACTTTATGTCTTTACACGAACGGAAAATGTGAGACTGATTTTTTTGAGATACTGAAGTAAGAAAAATAACGGACTTATCTTCAGATTGTATTGACAAGAATCTTAGCTCATCGAGAGTTAATGAAATTCTGTGGTCGCTACTGTCTCCACTAGCAAGTAAAGCGATCGATCAGTCATGTTGGACACAGCATCGACTACTAGTGCATTTACGTCATCTAGCTACATCGTTCGTTTTTAGTTTCCTTCTGTTTACTCTTTTTCGATTGTAGTAAAATGACGTAATCGACTAATTATTACGCAATAACTGTAACTGCGATCTGTTGCTTTTCCCCACAAGATTCTCCGGAGAGAAAAAGTAATTTCCCTTACAAGAGTTTTTTTCCTATCGTTGTGCAATACAATAACACTAAAGCTGCGATAAATAGCGATTTTCTTTTCTTATTCACGTCATATATGGTGTGTCCGAACATTATATTCAATTAGTTCTTATCATTTATCTGGAATGAAGAAAACAGTAATATACACTAGACATCTAACAAAGATGGGAAATGTAAGAAAATGTATTTACAATTTCTTACATTTTACATTCTTTCTCAGTTGACCAGAAGACAAAGTGAACGTAAAAAGAAGACGTCTCTATTTTTCTCTTTCCGTTCCATACACTGGTCGACGTTCTTGTGGATATTCTTGCAGGATTCTTGTCTCTTGCCATTTTAGACAAGAATCCTCAATTTTTTCTTAATCAATCAAACAAGATTCTTCTTTTAATTTTTTATCTTTTTCGTTAAAGATTCTTGTCTGAAGTGGCAAGATTCGTTAACGCCAAAATCACCAATTTGTTTTGTCAATTCCCGTCCTATATATAAGTTACATAATATAGCTCAATACTATACACAGATGCCTTTAAAAAGTTTTTTAAATCTCATAAGATTCGTGTCGAGAGACAATCGAGTCTTTACGTGTGCAGGTATTGGCATCAGACCGCCAAGTTCCTATATATATATGAAAAGGAAAGAGGACGAAAAATGGATTATATATGCATTCTATTTGTTTGCAAGATCCTTTTAAGAATTCCAAGACAAGATTCGTGCAGGAAATCACTTACTGATAGAAGTGGAATTGTCGAACTTTTGACTTTTTATGTACGAGTAGATGAGACACTGACGAAAAGAAAAAAATAGATGCTATATGAAGAAACGATGAATCATGCCAGCAGCTGTTCTGTCATATTGAATTGATAGCGACTATTGAATGAAGTTCAAAGCCTCTCAATTTAAGTTTTATCAGTGTTATCAGAAGATTTCTACAACAGTTATTTCATTTCTTTCATGTTTTAATATTTTAGATCTCTACTGTTTCTCTTGTTCATTTCACAAAAAGACATTGTGCATCCTAGAAATATGTACCGTGTACAATGATCTTCTAGAAACCCTGAAGATCTTGTTCATACGTTTACTGGAATCTATGTTATTTTTTACATATGTCCTAAACATTTCATTGAAAAATCTGTAAAGACTCACGAGGTATAGAAAAATGCGCGGCTAATTGTTTTTCCAAACTTATTGTTACAGAAAAAACTGATTTTCTCAGGAACGAAAAGGTATTTTCAAAATCCGTCGTGCGATTCTTTTCCAATAGGTCTGCTGGTCAGAATGAAATAAAAAAAATTGTTTTCTGTTGTAGTTGTTGAGATCTGATTCGTTTGCAAGATGCCCACGGACACTTTTTCAATTCTGCTACTGTTCCGTAAATTTTGATCTCATTTTTAGTTACAAAAATTTCTGATATACTTTTCTATACTCATTTTTACATGACAAATTAGAAAAGAATAGTTTTGGAATTATCAAAGAAGATTAAAGAATTTCAGTTATTTTTGAAGACTTCGCTAAAATTAACCTATCTTAAAAAACTAGTATTCTGAAATTTTCTAACCCAAAAGTGACTTTTAAAACTCTAAAAACAACGTTTTCCGATATAACTCAATCCAACCAGAACGAAAAACTCGAAAAAGAAATTTTACTCAAGTTTTGGATTGCCAGCACCTTACAACTTGTATCTCGTATATCATCTCATAATCAAAGTTGATGTATAGCGTATTTTAGGAATAAAAATAGTCTGTGAAGCATATTCTAATCCATAATAGTGTAAAATGATAACTCCTATCATCAAGAGAAGGCTGAAAGTCGCATCATCCTTTGATGTACTCTGTTTTGATATGTCATAAAAATAATTCCTAGATTGTCATCCTTTTTGAAACGGAAAACAATTCATCTATCTTCTCCAATGCCATGAATAGCGCTTTTTCTACTATTTCCATCCTCACCCTCGCACCCCTCACTATATAAAGTAAAATATCATCTGCTGCAAAAAAACTGCGCGAAAAGTAGTTGCAGATATTTCTATCAGATCTTTAGAAAAAATCTCTAACTTAATAGGAGTGGGACAGTTCCAGTTCCTATAGTTCCTAAGAACTGGTCACCAGTTCAGTTCCTGTTGAATGGGACCTAGTTCTTTTCAAGAAATCAAAATAAGATAAAACCGATGTGACTAGTGACATACTACTTTTTGAGATGTCTATTTCTTTTCCAGATGCCATCTCGATTCGAGATATTGCCTAGTGAATTATTTTTATGTTTTCGAATATTTATCCACTCGTGAGTTGTTTTATGCTTTTTTCAATTTGAACGTACGTATCAATTCAATTATTCATTTAATTTCTCATTATTCAATCGATTTATCAAACATCACAAAAATAATCTTCGACTATTGTTTTGCAACGATATTTTCTACTATTTCTCCAGATTGCGTCTCTTCACTTACATTATCAAATGATGGGGAAACTTGTCGTGAAATTGAACTGTTTCTTCAAAAGATTAACATCAAACTATTTTCTCATTCTTGTTCATCATTGTCGTTGATTGAACAACAAAAAATCAGCTTACCGTCATATTAGCTGAATTAACACAATTAACACAACTTAATCTGAAAATAAATCGATTTTTTAATCATTTAATATCGTATACCATGACACACTTTCTCTCATTATCAAACATTAATTATTTACAATTGGAAAGTGATCACTTTTCGATTGAAGATTTACTCGTTGTCAAATCTTCTTGCTTTATTCATAAAACATATTCATATGCATTCACAATAACAACTACTATCATTCAGAAATGCGAGTTTAGTTGAATTACACATATCGTTTATAGACAGACATATTCTATGAAATTATCAGTAATGTATTCACCAGGCTAAATCAATTAAAAAAATTATCGTTGAAAATCGAAACTTCTCATCACCCAACAAATGGTTACGACTGGGAAGACATATTCAAGTGTTTATTAAATATCAAAAAGCTCGATTTTTATGTTTATAATCAAAAAGTTGACAGCGTTAATTTATCTGTATTAACTAAATCATTTCAAACAGATCTTTATGTAAAACGTCAATGGCATTTTGTATTTGACTACAGTGAAGGAAGACGTATATTACAAATTTATAAAATGCCATGTATCATTAAACGTAAATACTTTGATCATGAATTGACAATCACTATTGTAGACAATAATAATACTGAAAATTTGTCGATCTGCAAGAAACTATCGAGTGCCTTCGAACGAATGCCACCAATACGGTTATATTATTTGAATGTTAAATCATTAAAAGTATCTTATTTAAATAGTTATTTATTTGCTTATTCAGATAGTGTTCTGATTTATTAAAATGTGACGCATTTAACTATTGATACAATGGCTCAGTCGGCTAGTGGGCAGACAACGTACTTCAAAGATACGGAGTTCGAATCCGAGCAATGGCGGTCGTGTGATAGCCTTGGACAAACTATCTAATGCTCATTGTCTCGGTACCTTTGGGCACAGATGCAATGGGGTAACCCGATTTCAGTAACCATTGGACTGAAGAGATGAGAATTAAAGTTTAAAAAAAAAGTCAGACTAATTTAACAACATTTTTAGAATTCTTAAAACACTTGCCAAATATTGTGTCACTGATATTAGGACCATCCACCAATAGTAAACAACTAATAGAAATATTAAGTAATCAAGTTATATGTACACATTATTCATTAAGATTAATTCGAAAATTAGATTTTCCAAAAGCTATTACTCAAGGTAATGTTATACAATCTTCAAATATATTTGAAAATGTTGAACAATTACGTTGTGTATTTAACATTTTAATCCTATAGCTCTTAGTACTCTGTCGCTCTGTCGATATGATGAGGGTGCATTTCTAACGTATTCAGCATTGCTTTTCATCTAGAAAACCATACTAGTAGTAATAGCACGAAGCATACTTTTGTGGAGCAAGGCAAGGCGAATCTTCTGGCGTACGAAAGAGTCTCTAGTTCTCATGGTAAAAAACTAGGTAGCATTGCGCGGTGAGGACCTCAGATTCGAGTGATCAGTGTTTAATCAGCTACAAGAGTTTAAGGCCTGAAAAAAAGTCATCGAATGACAAGTGCAATCTTTTCCACTTGATTTTTGAATTAGCGGCGCCTTACTCTCACATCCCATGTAAATATTTTTCGATCGTAGACGCGTCTGAAAACGCGTTTTATGCTGCGCTTAATCGCTTCGAAAATGCACCATTTGCTAGCGTTTAAACGCGTTTTTCCCAGGCGCGTTTAAACGCGTTTTTCCAAGACGCGCTTAAACGCGTTTTATCAGGGGAAGGCGCGCTTAAACGCGTTTTTACTAGACGC